TTTCTACCTCTCGTACCGTCGCCCTTGTTTCTTCTATTTACTTTCTCCTTCTACCCCAGTCATTCTCTTCCTTCCTTCCCGTCCCATCTTTCCCTTCTCTTTTTCTCCCTTTCTTTCCTTTTTTATTAATTTTTCTGTCTCTCCTTTCTGTTCCTTTCCCTTCGCCTCGACCCTTTCCTCTCCTTTCCTTCTCCCCTTCCCTTCCATTCCTTCATTCGTACATCTCCTTTTCCCACTTTCCCACTTCCCAGAGAGAGAGAGAGAGAGAGAGGGAGAGAGAGATTTCCAAGTCAACAGTTCATTTGTGGCAAAGCCTCAGGAACAACTTTAAGGCACACGTGTTTCTACAGAAGCATTCGGAGACTATTCCTTTGAAGCTCAGTCAGATTAGCAACACATATATTATGAGTGTGTGTGTGTGTGTGTGTGTGTGTGTGTAAATATGTGGGTGTGTGGCGTGTGTGTGTGTGTGTGTGTGTGTGTGTGTGTGTGTGTGTGTGTGTGTGTGTGTGTGTGTGTGTGTGTGTGTGTGTGTGTTTGTGTGTGTGTGTGTGTGAATGTGTGGGTGCGTGGGGGGTGCTAATGTTGTTGTGTGTATGTGTGACTTTGTGTTTGTTTGGTTGTGTGTGTGAATTTGTAAATGTGTGTGTGCGTGCGTGTTTGTGTGTGTGTGTGTGTGTGTGTGTGTGTGTGTGTGTGTGTGTGTGTGTGCACTTGTAGGTTTGGATGTCCATTCGTACGTATGGTTTTACATGTGATTTTAAGTACAAGTGTGTGTTATGTATGCATGAGTGTGAATATAAGTGCATCTCCTGGAGTATATGTATACGTTTCTGCGCATGAGTGTGTGTGTGTGTGTGTGCCGGTGCGTATACACGTCCGATCCAGTTTCTATACATACACAAAAATCCAGACAGAAAGTACACATCAGTTTCAGGCAATAACTTTGGAAGAGAGCGATTCAGAATATATATAGAATAAGTACTGAAGCCTTGGTCAAAGGAATGGCACTAGCGAGTGGCACAGTGCCTGAATAGTGCCAGAAAGAGAGGCTGGATGATATATAGACCTTTGGCTCTCTAGTTAAAAGGAAAATTTTATTTGTTCGTTAGATATTTGGAGACAATTAGACAACAAAATCCACATCGCATTCGTTTTTGAGAAAATCAATTCAAATTTGTGAAAGCAATGTTATCAATGAAGTGGATTTTGAAAAAAATCAATCAAAGTTTTTTTTTTAAGATTTTTTAAATAGAATTTGGGATAATACGTAAATACTTGTATATTTATAGACTTGGAAATTTCGAAATAAATTCATGTTCGAGAGATTAAGAGAGAAAATAAAGATTTCATTATTTGGAAAAAAAAAATACATAATTCAGAATTCAGCGACATTCCATTTCTCTCAATAAAACTGATTGCTATTCGAATTTCCATTTAGCATTCAGAGAATCTTTTTTTTATGTTTAAATTAGATCTTTTTTATTTTCCATTTAAGGGGAGGGAGGCAGGAAGGAGATGGGGAGGGGGAGGAGGGAGGGGGAGGGGGAGGGAGATGGAGGGGGGAGGGGGAGGGAGATGGAGGGGGGAGAGGGAGGGAGATGGAGGGGGGAGGGAGAGGGTAGTTACGCCATCTGCACATCAGAGTGGCAGGCATCTCCTCCCCTCTTACTTTTTTTTTCTCTTCTTTTCTTTTTTAAGTTCGTCCTTTTTTCATTCTCTTTCGCCTCCCTAGGGAACGCGCAAGTAGATGAAACTGAACGTATTTTTTTCCGTAAAAGTCCATTAGTTTAATAATCCTCTTGCCAATGTCCAGGCGTAAGAGTGCTGACGGGTGCCATGTTTGTTATTACAGGAAGAGCTGGCACTATGACACTCTGGCACTATGACACTCTAGCTCTCTGGCACCCTGGCACTGCGTCGAAGAGAGTCACCTGGAGGAGTGCCAGTTAGGCCTATGATTTTGTGATGGAGATTTATATAAAGAAGGAAGAGGAGGGGGGGAGGAGGAGAGGGGAGTAGGAGAAGGAGGAGATAGAGGAGGAGGAGGAAGAGGAGGAGGAGGAGGAGGAGGAGGAGAAAGAGGGGGAGGGGAAGAGGGGAAGAAGGAGGAGAAGGAGGAGGAAGACCAGGAGGAGAAGGAGGAAGAAGAAGGGAAGTAACAGGAATAGAAGGAAAGAAGACAAGAGGACGACGAAGGAGCAGAGGGAAGAAGAAGGAAGACGAGAAAAAGGGAAGCTGAAAGGAAGAAAGAAAAAGAAAACGAAGAAGAAAAACGGAAAAAAAAAAATGAAAGAAAATTATGAGAAAAAAATCAAAAAAAAAATCCAGAAAAAATAAAAAGAAGGTAAAAAAAATTAAAGAATAAACAAGAATAAATTAGAAATAGAGAAAGACAACCAACGGAATTTTCAAGAGCCTAAGTGGGCGCCGAAGAGGGCGTGGGTGTGGGGCCAGACGTCAGACACGGGAATTCTTTCTTACTTTTTTCTTTCGTTCTTTCTTTTTCTTCTTCTTTCTTTCTTTCTTTTTTCTTTCTTTTTCTTCTTCTTCTTTCTTTCTTTCTTCTTCTTCTTCTTTCTTTCCTTTTTTTTCTTCTTTCTTTCTTTTTTTTCTTCTTTCTTTCTTTCTTCTTCTTTCTT